CTAGGTGCGGCGGCATGGCCCGCGCGCCCGGCGCCACCCCGGCGGATTGCATCGCAGCGCGGCGGCGGGGCATGCCCAGGGCACCGGGCACGGCCTTCAATGGGCGAGGACACGGACGCGCGGAAACTTAACCACAGCTTCCTGCGGGACCACAGCTATGTGACCGAAGGTAACGTACGTGTGTGCGGCCGCCCCTCCGGCCGGCCGCGGCGCGGGGATGCCGTCGCACCCGATGCCCTCCGAAGGTTTGGACCGCGCGCTGTGTGTCTGTCCCACCCCCACCCCACCCCCGGGTCCCCTCCTCCGCGCCGACCTCCGGGAGGCTCCGCGGGAGGTGTCTTGGGCGCGATCAGCGAGGCCACGGGGCGGGTCTGGAGGGAAAGCGACACCCTGCCCAGCGCCCGCAGAATTTTCTAGGCTGCGGCTCCGGGAGGCTGGGGCACCCAGAGGGCTCCGTGCGCCCGGGACCCCGGGTGGGAGGGAACGGCTTGGGGTCCGGTCTGGGATCTCGCTCTGTGATTGACGCGGGAGGAGCTGTCAGGCCCCGAACTGTCAGGGTCTCCAGAAAGTGGGGCATGTCGCCTCAGCCGCCACTCCAGAGCGCTGGCGCTTGCTCTTCAGGCCAGGAATGTCCAGGGTCGCTGGGCGCTGACCTTGCTCAGGGGACACAGGAGACGCCTCCCAGCCCTGGTCGGAGGGGGCTACGGAGGCGGCTTCGGTGGGCGCGGGCCCCCCAGCATCTTCCCGGGAGTACGGCCCCGCCTTGGGCCTGCGGGATTTCAGCACCATGGAGGCCCAGTGGGTGGGAGCCCCACAGCATCGCGTCCCTTGGGGGAGTCCTTGGTGTTGGGAAGCTGGGCCCCGGAGGCGGTGTCCACCGCTTCACGCCGGCTCCGCCGGAAATGAGGCCAAGTGCGCGGGGGCGCAGGTGCGGGTGGCGATGGTGGTCGCCCGGAGTGCAGCGTCCACCTGGGCAGAAGACGAGCGGCCCAGAACCGCTGAGTCACGCTGCCTGGTGGGGCGGGGCGCCGCGGAAGGCAACGGGGACCCTGGTCCTCGGAGCCACAGAGCATTGGATGAAGGGAGGCCCGAGGCCCGGCTGCCAGCAGGTGACCTGGACCCGGCCTGGCAAGGGGCATCTTGGCAGCCAGGTCCTGGCTGGCCTTCAGCGGGCAGCATCCTTTCCTCATGTGTGCTGCCGGGAGGGGACAGATGGCCCAGGACAGACTGCTGGCCCACAGGCATCGTTTACAGCCTTCCCTCCACCCTTGGCTCCCCAGGCCCGCTCATTCAGCCTGTTAGCGGGGACAGGGGCTGGGAGAGAGCGTGTCCTGCAGGGAGGAACCTTGACTTCTAATCTGTCCGTCCTGCATTCACTGGACAAACACAGACCACTGAGCCAGAACCGTCCTGGGCAGTGCTCCTGCCCTGTGCAGCTGGGGCCTCTGTGCCTCGGTTTACCCCTGGTAAACTGGTAGTGAACCTTTCCTGGAGGAGTGCCTAGGAGCCGAGTGCTGCCAACAACTCTCGTGTGGGCATCCCATGTGACCTCCCTACAGACAAGGAAACCGAGGCCTCTGTGTGTGTCTGCAAGGCCTTTGTCCAGGTGCTGGACCGAGGGGTGGTGTGGGAGGGACAAGACAGGGTTGAGGGCCTGGAAGGCATTGGGACAGGCCAGCAGACTCCAAAGTCTGAACGTGGCTGCCTGGACCCCCTGACTGTTGGCTGGGGGAGCGTGTGGACTCCGCCCTGTACTCCTTGCTTGAGCAGCATGTGCCCTGTCTAACCTTCAGCCTTTGTGCCCTCTGCGTCAGCCCTGAAGGTCATTCCCAAGGCTGTGAATCCTTTCTGAAGTGGCATCTCTGTCCAAGGAGAGGCAGGAGGATTTGAACCACTGACCTTGGTTCAAGCAGCAGGATGCTTTAACCACTATGCCACAGGGCCCAGGGTCAAGATGATGGGATGGCATGGTCAACAAGGTCTCAGTGGAGGAAGCACAGGCGGTTCTGGCCTCTGGGGGCTGGCCTGGACTGTCCCGGAAGGAGCCTCTTGAATGGACACCCTGGTGTTCCACACCTCAGGTGGCTGTTGCATCTCTGCATCTTGAACTGGACACTGCCTTTCCTGCCTCATGGCCCTGTGCTCTGTCCAGAGTCCCCTCCCTGTCCACCCCTAGGTCCATGTCGCACTTTGGTGGTGTCCAGTGTCTAATGGCAGCTGAACTCAGTCAGCTGCAGTGACAGGTGTGGTCATCTCGGCTGGATGCAGGCACCTTTGGGGCACAGGGGACTCTACTGGTGTGGGGTGCTTGGAGAGTCCTGCTTGGAGACAAGGATGGGCCGAGCTGGCTCTGAGAGAGGGACAGTGCAGGCTCGGGTGTGAGGCTGCTCTGTGGGTGCTGAGCTGTGTCCACACTAGCCCTTCGTCTATGAAAGAGCCTTTGTTCCAGCTGGGCTCTGTCTGCGGGCATCCACGTGGATGGGACACAGTGCTGTGACCTCGCCCTGGAGGGAGCCGGGCCTTGGAAGTGGGGGGCAGGATCCTCTGTTCAGAGACATTTGTTCCTATGATGGACACAGAGTTGAGGGTACCAAGGCCAGGCCCTGTCCAGAGAACATGGGTGCTGGCAGAAGACCCCAGCCCCCACGTAGGGCTGATGCTCAAGGCTGGCTAGATCCTTGTGGTGAGGGTCCCCTGCGGTGAGGGTCCCTTCGTGGTAAAGGCCCTCATGGAGTCACGGTCCCCTTGTGGTGAAGGTCTCCTTGTGGTGAGGGTCTCCCCCTTTGTGGTGAGGGTCCCTCCTTGCGATGAGGACAAAACTGTGATGAGTGTCCTGGACAGCACAGGGCAGGACACCCACTGCTGTTGCCAGGCCAGTGTCTTTATGGAGGGGTGCTCTCATGGAGCAGTTTCTCAGGAGATGTGTCTCTGCTGGTTCGAATCCACCAGCTACTCTGTGGGGCAGATGACCAGTCTCCTAATGTGTGATTTACAGCCTTAGAAATCTAATGAGGTCAACGCTGAGTCCGCTCTGAGTAGACAATGAGAGAGTGGGAGAAAGGGACAGACAGACAGACTTTAGGAAGCCAGCTGCCACAGCTGCCTCCAAGCGGTGATCGGATTGAAGTGCCGACCTTTTGGTTACCAGCCAGGTGTCCAACCACTTCCCCACCAGGCCTCCTTTTTGGCTAATAGATGAGTGAGCAGTGACTTAGGCCTGAAGCCGCCGTCGCTTTGTAGAGATTGCTGTGAGATGTCCCCAAGCCGACGGGACTCATTGCCATGCAGCATCAGGCCTGAGCCGCGCCCTGTCCTGCGCTGCCCTCCGTCCACTTCCCTTGCCCTGTCCCACGCCGTCCTCCGTCCACCTCCCTTGCCCTGTCCTGCGCTGTCCTCCATCCACCTCCCTCGTCCTTCCTGCTCCGTCCTCCGTCCACCTCCCTCAAGCCGTCACTGCAGCTCCTGCATCGGTCCATGAGGGTCGTTCTCTCTTTTATGACCCTCCTGCTCCCCCAGCATGATGTCTTTCTCCAGGGACGGGCCCTCCTGACCATCTCCCCACCCTGACCTCTCCCTGCCTTGGCCTCTCCCCGTCCTGGCCTCTCCCCCCCCCCCCCCCTCTTTTCCACACACACACACACACACACACACAATCAGAGAGGCATGGCCTTTGGGTTTGCAGCATAACTCCCTACTGACCTCTCCCCCCCGCCCCCCCGCCCTGGCCTCTCCCCACCATGGCCTCTGAGGCCGCATGTCCCCCAAGACGGGTTGCTCATTCTCCTGTAACCCCACATTGGTGGGTCTCTTCGCCAACCCCACAGTTGAAAGGTGGCTCCTTGTCCTGTCTTCCTTATTCATGCTGCAGCCCTGATACCCAAGAAGCAGCGAGGAACCCCCCGGCATGTGCCAGCCGCACCTTAGTCTTTAAACCGCTGTCCTCCTGTTTAGCACATCGCAGGGCAGGGGGTTAGGTTGGTCCTTGGCAGTAGATTTACCCGATGTGAGATGTCAAAAAGACTGTCCCTGAACAATAGAAGCTCTTAAAAGACAGAGTTACAGCAGCCCTTAGGAGCCACCAGGCTGAGCCGTTTCACAGATGGAGAAACGGAGGCTGAGAGAGGGACAGCAGCCCCTTGAGGGGCGGGAGCAGCGTCCACTGCTCATCGTGGTGTGGACGCTCGGCTTCTACCTGGGGTGCCTGCCCGAGCTGCTCCTGTGTTCACCGCGGCGTCTCCATCTCGGGGTCCGGGAAGGAAGGAGGCTGGGTGCAGACTGAAGTGTAGCCCCCTGACCCTCAGTGCCCCATGCAGCCCCTTCAGATGTGGGGGACAGTCACACATGGGCAGGCCCCAGGGCTGGCGTGTGGGTGGACCTGGCTCCGTTGTTACTCCGTCACGGGATAGAGCTGGCGCTGCCACGCGCGGGCCCTTTCTCGCTCGCTTTCTGCAAGATGAAAACCAAGCCTTTTTAAAAAAAAAATTGTTTTATACTGGTTTGCTTACAAAGATCATGTACATTGTTTTTCACACCAGATCTTTCCAATTTCCTTTACCCACTTCTCCCTCTGTCCATCAAGTGTGCAACCCTGTGATTGACCATCCCCCCTGCCCTGCCCATCCTCACCCCTCTGCATCCCCCTACCCCCCTTGGATCCTCATACACATTTTACTAGTTATCTATTTCTACAATAATGGTCGTATATAGTATTTGTCCTCACGGGACTGAGTTCACTTAGTGTATTGCTCTCCAGTCCCTCCCAAATTAGGTGGTGATTTTCCAAATCATTGCTTCTGCATGCTGCATAGTATTCCGTTGTGTGTATGTGCCATAATTTCTCAATCCATTCGATTGTGGTTGGACATTGGCTGTTTCTGTGTTCTTACAGTGGTGAATAATGCTGCTATGAACATTGGTGTACAAGTCTCCATTTATACCTCAGTTCTCATTTTCTCAGGGTATATTCCAAACAGAATAGCTGGGTCATATGGAATTTCTATGTTCAGCTTTTTGAGGAAGCGCCTAACTGCTTCCAGAATGGCTGTACCATTTTACAGTCTCACCAACATTGTATAAGAGTCCCTGTCTTGCCACATCCTCGCCAACATTTATTACTTGCTGCCTTGCTAACCTTTTCCACTGCTGCTGGGGTGAAGTTGTATCTCATGG